TGGGGGGGGGGGGGGGGGTATGATATTATAGTACACATTCTTCACACCAAGTTCTCCATCGTATCTTTTTTTTTCCCCTCTTCTCTCTCTCGTGTATGACCTCCATTTGGACCTAAATTAGGTCTTTATATAGTGTTTGAACTATAATGAAAGTCGTGCTCTCGAAAAGGGACCAAAATACCCCAAATTTTTTTTTTAAAAAAATGACACATGACTGGCCACAGCTGGGCCGCGGCAATTTATTTTTTCAGTTTTTATTTTATTTACTATATTTATTTATTTTTTAAAATGTGGTTTGACCACGACAAAGGGTCCTTCATGTGCCCATGGGTGAACTAAGGCTAGAAAAAACTCCCGAATCAAACAAAATCAAGCGATTCTTCTTAAGTTAAATACCCGAACGGATATCTGAATCGAGAACCGACGGGTTTTGGTTCAGTTCTCGATTCTAGATCAAGAACAGAAGAATCGAATAAGAACCGAATCTCCCTAATTTTTTTAATTTATTTATTTTAAATAAGCCAAATTATTTTATTTTTCTAAATAAAATTGTTAACTAGTTAATTTAGCTCAAACCCAAAAATATGATTGTTCTATTTCTAATTTTTAGTTCAAAGTCAACTTAATTAAATTGACCTAAGTTTTATCCAAATATGTTACTCTACCATAATGTCGTTTCTAATGTTCTAGAGAAATCAAATTGAAGCTCGACAACGCCTTTCTTAATTATTTTGAGCTCGATATCTTACTCTTTCTGTGATTTTAACAACCAAATTTGTGACAAACTCAACAAAGAGAGACGCAAAAAACACATAAGATTAGACTACATTATTTTGTAAAAGTTAAAATTGAACGTATCATTAGTTGAATTAATATAACTTTGTAATTATTAAAAAATTTAATTATAATACGAAATCTAGAAACCAAATGGAACCGAACCAAACTGAACTGAACCGAATGGAACCGAACTCGAACAGTTCCATAATTAAATTTGGATCGGACAGTTTCACTTACTAAACACCCGAAAATTTTGAGTTCGATTCAGTTCTTGTTAGAATCGAATCGAACCGAACCGAACCGAAACGAAACGGATCATGTCCAACCCTAGGGCAAACCGCTGTTTGTAAATAGCGGTCACCCATGCAACTTCTAGAATTTTGCATTTTGGTCTCTATATCAAAATTTTCGTATGATTTTGGTCATTTTTGTCCAAAACTTCATATTGGTACCATAACTTCCAAAAGTTCTGATGTTAGTCCTCAAACCTCCATAATCATCAAAGTTTGGTTCTCCTCAAGTTTCAAAAGTATGAAAATCAATCCCCAAATCTTTCATAACCCAAAACTTGTGGTGGCTTTCCTCTAGTTGCTCTCTTATCGCTTCTTATCAATCCAATGCAATTCGATTACTTAAAATCAAATCAAATAAGCTCAATCTTCATTTTTGTTTCAAGTATACCTCCAAATTTAGGTTTTACTTGTGATGACAATATTTACACTAAATTAGGCTCAAATTTAAAAATATAAGTCGAGTTTATAAACACGAATAAACATGTAGAATACACTTATCAAGTATACAATGGAGTTTCTAACTTAAGAAATTAATTCATATTCGAAAACAAAGTAGTATCTTTAAGTTCTATACCAACTTTAAATTCATAAAATTTACACAAAATAATATTCGAAATAATTATGTCTCAATACATAGACGATGTTGTTGGGAATCTACTTAACATGTACAGCGGAAAATTAAAATAATTTTCGATTTTCACCAGGAATTGCCTTTGTGTATAAATAGAAATTGTGATAAAAGTGATACCTTTTCATGATCTGCAAACTCCTTTACTTTATCTTTGTTCCAGCAATTTGGATTTGTCTCCCACGACTGTCCAATTGTTCTGCCTCCAACAGTGATCCATACAAAGAACAAGATTATAGTATTAGAATTTTTCTTGTGCTAGCAAGAATAATGAAAAATCTCTACAATTTTGAAAACTCTAATCATATTTATATAAACTCGAACAGGCTTGGCCTGACCTAGTCCAACATTTAATTAACCTATTTAATTAAATTCGGTCCGTGAATTAATTAATCCAATTAATCAATTCAGGCCTATAAATAAACAACTCAATTAATTAATTTATCCAACACTTGTTAAATTAATTAATTGACAAATCATAATCTTCCAGTTCTCCTTTTGTGTGTGACCAATCAGGCTTTCGATCACGATATCTAACGATGTAAAATATTATTTTGATCTAATCAAAATCGATAAATTAAAATACTCTTTTAATTTATCACCAATTCACACTCGTCGTCCCAAATTGACATATAGCAATATGTCAGGGCAAACATGTGACGAAAAATATCACGTGGTATGACAAAAATCAAACTCGTTTGTTTTCCGTGAAACTATAAACCTTTCGTCAATATAATCCGATCAATTACGAGATATGGAATTGTGTCAATCCCGATTATCGATCATATCTTTTACTCCACTATTAAGTCAATATAAGTCGAAAATTCATTTTCAACTTATGAGTACACATTGGCCAAGAATTTCATTATCGACTTAATCGAATGAAATATGGATCATAATCTCTTATTATCTAAGAGTGATGAATCAACTATTGGTCATTCACAACCTTCATACGATTCTTGACATATCCAAATGATGCCGTATTACCAGCCCTTGGTAGAGCAACATCCAACACCGTTAAAGCATAATTGTCATCATATAAGGTACTATGACGACCTTAAGTCAAAGGACCAATCCCACTATCGAACGTTAGAGATTAATCACTGACACTCAAATAGTTATCCATGTGGAATCTCTAAGCGGGTCTCCAATATTTTGTTCTATAACAAAATATCCACGTGTTCATTCAAGTATCACTATACTTTAACTTGTGAGATCAGCTACTCACTTCACAAGTAAGAAATGTCACACGTGATGATCTATCCGTAATCACGATATCCATATCTCGCTATTACTTACGACCACAAACGATTTAGAATTCAATCATATGTAATTTGTATATCACAATCACAATTCCTTATAATTAACAAATTACGAAAATTTAAATTTACGGACTCTATTTTTAATTTAATAGACATTTAATTAAATAATAGATCTGTCATTAAATCGTATTAATTATATATTAAAAGTATTTATGTCTAAAGTTGATTAGATTTAGGGCATAATATTTACAGATGTTTCAATAGATCTCATAATTGGACACACACACTTATATTATAATTTTATCGATCCGTAATTTGTAAGTACATATTTAGACATCAATGTCTGACTTAAAATGATAAGAATAAAATCTTATTAAAATATTGATCTGGGTTCAAAATGAAACTCAAAGGAAAATTATAAAGATTTATAAAAAAAATATAGGGTGTGTTTGATTACATTTATTTTTCATGAAAAATATCAGTTTTCTACTCAAATTTTTACTTGTAGTGTTTGATTGCTATTTTTTTCCATGAAAAATATTTTTCAACTTTTGAAAATATACCTAAATTTTCTTGTTTTTAAAGAAAATATTTTCCTTGAATAGACGTGGTTTTTATTTTCCACAAAAGATGGAAAATATATATATATGTATTTTTTCTAGATGATATGTAATTACAAATATCCTCTCAACCTCTCTTTTAGCATAATTCATTCCTAATATTTCATTCATGCAGCAAAACTCATCATATCTTCTATTTTGACCATTAGATAATGGGTTTGATCGTCTCTTTAAATGAATAAATATAAAAGAAAATAACGAAGCAACGTAAATAAGGAAAATTTGCAAATGGAATTTCATAACTTTTCAGAAGAAACAATTAAATACTCTTTAACATATAATTTTTTTTTATTTTTTTTTAAAAATCATCTTTCCACTCACTCCTGTCAACGCCACCATAGGCAAACACCACCTTCACAAATACAAATCACTCTACGTGGTTATTTTCCATCTAAAGTGCTGGTTTAATCAAATTATTTTTTGGATTGTGCTACACTTACATAATCATTTATACAATTCTTTACACCCCACTCACATCATCAAGGTGGGGACCATGGCTTGGCATTATTAAATACACGCAGGGTCGCGTGTTTGTGAGGGGGGACACGCTTCGGTAACGAGGAAATGGTGGGCAATGGTTGCCCCCACCCGGTGTGTTTTCCGTAATAGCCTTTGACCAAGTTATTTGTTAAAAAAAAAAAGAAGGGAAAATGAAACAAAATGTGTAGGGTCGAAAATACCCTCATTTAGGAAAGAAGAGAAGAGAAAATAGAGGGAAAAAAGAAGAGAAAAAAAGGAAAAATCTGCTACCGACCGGTCGACGTCGCCTACGGACTGCCCGGACCTCACCAACTTCGACCAAGACCAGAGTCACCTCGATTCGCCGGAGACCGTCATTTTCTGGAAGGTTAGACATTTTTTCTATAAATAACTATGAATTTGTGAAAGTTTGAATGTTTAGGATATGAATATGGGTTAAATTCATGTTTTAATGGTTAAAATGTAAGAAAATATCGAATTTGAGGTTAAAATGTTGAAAAAAAGTGAAAAAAAAGGACGGAACTCGTCGAAAATGGAGTTTCCGGCGAGCTCCGTCGGTCTGGTCCGTTACGGACCAAACCAGATGGTCCGTAACGGACCATGGTGATGGTCCGCTACGGACCAGGACCATATGGTCCGGTCCGGACCACACCGGACCCGGATTTTGGTCCGGGTCTAGACCCCAATTTTTGTCAAAAATAATTTTTTTTTTCAGAATTATTGTTTTATTTTTGTGTTAAGAAATAAAATGAAATATAAAATAAATAATATATTAAGAGAATTAACGAAATATTTAAAGATAAATTAAATTGAGTTTTAATTTTTTTTCTTTTTTACTTAAATATACGTTTCAAATAAATAATTGAAATAGAGTAATTAAATATGAAATAAATAATATACATAATTAACGAAATATTTAAAAAATAAATTAAAAAAATAATATTTTTTTTACTCAACGAATTAATATAATGAATAAAGAAATAGTAAAAGGAAAAATCGAATAAATATTATTCAAATAAATAATCGAAATAGAGTAATTAAATATGAAATAAATAAAACACATGATTAACGAAATATTTAAAAAATAAATTAAATTGAATAATATTTTTTTTACCTAATCAATTAAGATAATTAATTAAAGAAATAGTAAAACGAAAAATCGAATAAATATTATCATTTTTATTCAAATAAATAATCGAAATAAATAATATACATAATTAACAAAATATTTAAAGAATAAATTAAAAAAATAATATTTTTTTTACTTAACGAACTAAGATAATGAATTAAAGAAATAGTAAAATGAAAAATCGAATAAATATTATTCAAATAAATAATCGAAATAGAGTAATTAAATATGAAATAAATAATATACATAATTAACGAAATATTTAAAAAATAAATTAAATTGAATAATATTTTTTGTACTTCACCAATTAAGATAATGAATTAAAGAAATAGTAAAAGGAAAAATCGAATAAATATTTTTCAAATAAATAATCGAAATAGAGTAATTAAATATGAAATAAATAATATACATAATTAATGAAATATTTAAAGAATAAATTAAATTGAATAATATTTTTTACTTCACCAATTAAGATAATTAATTAAAGAAATAGTAAAACGAAAAATCGAATAAATATTATTCAAATAAATAATCAAAATGGAGTAATTAAATATGAAATAAATAATATATATAATTAATGAAATATTTAAAGAATAAATTAAATTGAATAATATTTTGTGTACTTCACAAATTAAGATAATTAATTAAAGAAATAGTAAAACGAAAAATCGAATAAATATTATTATTTTTATTCAAATAAATAATCTAAATAGATCAATTAAATATGAAATAAATAAAACACATAATTATCGAAATATTTAAAGAATAAATTAAATTGAGTAATATTTTTTTTACCTAACCAATTAAGATATTGAATTAAAGAAATAGTGAAACGAAAAATCGAATAAATATTATTCAAATAAATAATCGAAATAGAGTAATTAAATATGAAATAAATAAAATACATGATTAACGAAATATTTAAAGAATAAATTAAATTGAGTAATATTTTTTTTACCTAACCAATTAAGATAATTAATTAAAGAAATAGTGAAACGAAAAATCGAATAAATATTATTATTTTTATTCAAATAAATAATCGAAATAAATAATATACATAATTGACGAAATATTTAAAGAATAAATTAAAAAAAAACAATATTTTTTTTACTTAACGAACTAAGATAATGAATTAAAGAAATAGTAAAAGGAAAAATCGAATAAATATTATTCAAATAAATAATCGAAATAGAGTAATTAAATATGAAATAGATAAAACACATGATTAACGGAATATTTAAAGAATAAATTAAAAAACAATATTTTTTGTACTTTACCAATTAAGATAATTAATTAAAGAAATAGTAAAACGAAAAATCGAATAAATATTATTATTTTTATTCAAATAAATAATCGAAATAGAGTAATTAAATATGAAATAAATAATATACATAATTAACGAAATATTTAAAAAATAAATTAAAAAACAATATTTTTTTTACTTAACGAATTAAGATAATGAATTAAAGAAATAGTAAAACGAAAAATCGAATAAATATTATTCAAATAAATAATCGAAATAGAGTAATTAAATATGAAATAAATAAAACACATGATTAACGAAATATTTAAAGAATAAATTAAATTGAATAATATTTTTTTTACCTAACCAATTAAGATAATTAATTAAAGAAATAGTGAAACGAAAAATCGAATAAATATTATTATTTTTATTCAAATAAATAATCGAAATAAATAATATACATAATTAACGAAATATTTAAAGAATAAATTAAAAAAATAATATTTTTTTACTTAACGAACTAAGATAATTAATTAAAGAAATAGTAAAAGGAAAAATCGAATAAATATTATTCAAATAAATAATCGAAATAGAGTAATTAAATATGAAATAGATAAAACACATGATTAACGGAATATTTAAAGAATAAATTAAATTGAATAGTATTTTTTTACCTAACCAATTAAGATAATTTATTAAAGAAATAGTAAAACGAAAAATCGAATAAATATTATTATTTTTATTCAAATAAATAATCGAAATAAATAATATACATAATTAACGAAATATTTAAAGAATAAATTAAAAAAACAATAATTTTTTTACTTAACGAACTAAGATAATGAATTAAAGAAATAGTAAAAGGAAAAATTGAATAAAGATTATTCAAATAAATAAGCGAAATAGAGTAATTAAAAATGAAATAAATAATATACATAATTAACGAAATATTTAAAGAATAAATTAAATATATATAGTCAGATAATTAACGAAATATAATTTTTAAATAAATATTAAATAGTCAAATATGTGGAAGTTTTTTTGTTTAACTGTTTTAATATGTGATTGGATAAATTTATTTATTGGTTTATTAATATGAAATTTGATTGGTTAAATTTGAAGGTACGATATTTTATTTATAATTTCTTTTATATGGTTTTAACATGTATTAATTTTGTAGGATGGAATATCATATGGACAACGATCTGAGGGCTCATTTGGGAAAAGTTACGACGTATTGTAACTTTTCCAGCTATGCGACAGTGCTTGAGGGGCTGGACGAGGAGCATATTGACTTACTCCATCGATCGTTTTTATGGTCATTTTATCCATTGAAGGACGTGCAGTTCTCTGGACAGATTATTGATTCTTTATTACTCCGGCTGCTTAAACCAGTCGATGGCGATCAGCTATATTTTGCTATGGGGGACGGGAAGGTATCGAGATTCTCGATCCTTGAATTTGCCCTAATTACAAGCTTGAGATGTACCGGGGAAGAAGAAGTTAGAGTCTGTATTATACGAAATAAAAGGTTATTGGATTTATATTTTGGAGGTAAAGGGCCAGTTACACCACCACAGTTAGAGGACGCATTTAGGAGATGCGATCACATGTTAGACAAGTTGAAGTTAGGATTGGTGTATATACTGGAGAGTATATTGAGGCGTCGACATCGTAGGACGTCGATTGATCTTTTTTCATTGGATGTTGTTGATGATATCGATGCTTTCAACAGCTTTCCATGGGGTCGGAGATGTTACACCGATACTCTCCATGTATTCAGAAGGGTACATACTATGCCGAAATCGGAGAGGGGCGATCGCAAATATGATGTATATGGCTTTTGCATGGCTTTCCAGGTAAATATTCAGTGTAACGTAATGCGTGTTAAACTTTTTTATTAAATGTATATGTAAAGTTTTATTTTGTAATTGTTGCAGTTGTGGGCATATGAGGCTATCCCTGCTTTGGGTAGCAAATGAGCGATCAGAAGGGAGACCAGCTGCCCACGAATGCTTCATTGGCGAGCACATGAAAAGCCATCGGCTAAATATTTGACAGTTATCCTCGACGATCCTCAGGTGAGTATTATATATTGGCAGTTTATATTGTACATACATTTACTCGGCTCAATACATGCTCGTTAACACGTTGAAATATGATATGTCAGCTTGAAGTTCATGCTGAGTCGGTTGTTTCGATGGAAGAGGAGAATGCAATATATGTACGTGAATTACTTGTTCCACCTACTGAAGATGATCCAGTATTTGAGTTCGTTCCCGATAGAAATATAGTACGTTTATTTAAGATCATTATTTATTTTGACTTATAAATTCATGTGTGGATTATTAATATTAATCGTCTTCTCTGTGTAGGAGCGCCATCCGGAACTTCCACTTAGGAGATCTCCTTCGCCTCCACCGATGAGATCTCCGTTGCCTCCACTGATGAGATCACCTCTACCGCCATTATCTCATTCTCCGAGGATATCTCCGTCTCCCGTACCCACCCACCTCCCACGTGGATCGCCTACACCCAATCAGACCCGTCATTCAGATGGTTTCTTTAAACGCATGACTGGTATTATTAGAGAGGAGCTGGGAACGATGCGACGTGATTTTATAACAGAGGTAGTCGCACTACGAGGGAGATAGGGGTGTTGCGATGGGATTTTACGACAGAGATCGTCGCAGTACGAGAGGAGATAGGGGTGCTGCGACGAGATTTTACAACAGATGTAGTAGCTTTGCGAGATGAGATTGGAGTGCTGCGACGAGATATAGGAAACCTTCTTACTGAGATTGCAGCACTTCGAGGCGATGTAGCAGGCGTCGGAGGGAATGTCGGGGAGACTGGTGTTCCTCGAGATTGGTGGGCAACGATAGCAGGAATCGATGAGTTTTTTGGTTCGGTGCCAGAGGCCGAGAGGGAGGGGGTGGAGTTCGGGCAGGAGGAGTCGGAGGAGGCGGAGGAGGCGGGGATGCCCGGGGTGGAGGTCGGGCCGGAGGTGCCGGAGGAGGCTGGGATGCCCGAGGTGGAGGTCTCAGAGGAGGCCGAGATAGAGGGGGTGGAGGGAGGGACAGGGGTGGCCGAGGAGGTAGCGGAGGGGACATCAGAGGTGGTAGTAGAGGGGGATGATCAGGTTGCGGAGGACGCCAGAGATGATGGATGAAGAGGTAGTATTCGTGTCGGAGGGGGCGACGGAGGTCCCGAAGGGTAAAAAGCGTGCTACTGACGCGCCAGAGCTGATGGTCGGTAAGAGATCAAGATTGCCGTCACAGTACATCGTTTCTGTATACACGGCCGAGGTGAAGAGAAGGGGGTTTGTGGATGGGGCGTTCCCCAATCTTTTTCGCGACGTCGACCCAGTCAGATAGAAGGCGTTCGATGATTGGTTCAAATCCCTTAAGTCCGAGTAAGTATTTTATGATTTTGCTACTATTTTTTTGTATTTTTCGTAACTGTTTTTTCATTTTTCAGAGATAGTTATACCATCGGCTGTATGACTGTGCCCAATGCTAAAAAGTGGTTTGAAAATGTACTGACGACCTCAGCTTGGCTCGCTGATGATGTAAGTTTTTTGAGTTTCCGTTTATTATATTTATAGAAGTTGTTGGTTCATTTATTTAAATGACTCTATCTTTTTTGTTGGTGTTTTTTTGTTTCAGCATATCGACTTGGCTATGGAATTGTTACGCGATCGGGCTCGGAGATACCCGAGATCTTATGACAGTCCTAGTCGAGTTATCCTGAGCTCTGAGTTTGTTCGTGTCGTAGATATTGAGCATCACGAGCTCCTAAGTAAGGGGAATGATTATGTTCTGTCTGAGTACATGATGGAGTGGGTGATTGAACTACAGTTGAGGTGCGGAAAGTCGTGGACGGATTGTACAAATATTTAAAGAATAAATTAAATTGAATAATATTTTTTTTACCTAACCAATTAAGATAATTAATTAAAGAAATAGTGAAACGAAAAATCGAATAAATATTATTATTATTATTATTATTCAAATAAATAATCGAAATAGAGTAATTAAATATGAAATAAATAAAACACATGATTAACGAAATATTTTTTTTACTTAACCAATTAAGATAATTAATTAAAGAAATAGTGAAATGAAAAATCGAATAAATATTATTATTATTATTATTATTCAAATAAATAATCGAAATTGAGTAATTAAATATGAAATAAATAAAACACATGATTAACGAAATATTTTTTTTACTTACCTAATTAAGATAATTAATTAAAGAAATAGTAATCTATCCATATTGTTAGTTAATATATATCGTTGTCTCATTTGTTTTAAAAGAAAACAAACAAATACATGACACATAGAAAATACATATGACAAATGTGATAAAAATTAAAAAGAGTAATTAAACAATGTGATAAAGATTACATCCGATTTAAATTCAGAAAATCACAAACACATGACAAATAGAGAATACAGATGATTTATATAGATACTACACATCCATCGAGTCATTGTTTAGTGGGATCTGACTTGTACAAAATCGACGTGTATGTCCTGTAGCGCTGCACCTCCTGTAACTTTCCACTCGGCTTTATTTGGTAGAGGAAATATAGTTTCGGCATACGCTGCTATCCAAAAATCAGTCATATAATAATGACTGCACAAGCTGTGTGGTGAAAATCCTTTATACATAGCCACTGCGACAGCATGTGCACATGGAAAACTTTCCAACTGAAATTTTCTACACGTGCAGGTATTGTCATTCAAATCTACAATGTATCTAACATTACGCCCGCATCTCACGGAGAAGCGAAATTGATCTAGTGGTTCCACAAATAGAGCTTTTGCCACTTCCAGAGTTTTGAATAGTCGATCTTCCTGTGCCGGAGCTAGCACACTCGTGCAATTTTGGGATTCTTCACGTCGGTCATAAAACCACTGTTGCAATTTGCTACGAATATGTTCAATCATTGCGAGAATCGGTAACTCTCGATCCTTCTTGAATAATGCATTGAGCGACTCTGCATTATTCGACGTCATCATGTTGTATCGACGTCCTGGAAAATGTGATCCTGCCCAATGTTCGACCCCCATATCTGATAGATATTCCCGTGCACTTTCTGATTTATGTTCTATTTCACCCATGAACTTTGTAAACTCTTCAAAGTTGTAAGCTTCTGCAACTCTCCTAAACAATGCAACGATGCCACTGCCCCGGTACCTAGTCTTCAGATTGCCCTGAATGTGGCATATGCAATAACCATGATGTGTTTCTGGAAAAACTTCGGCTATACCATTTATTATTGATTGCCCCCGGTTAGTCACAAATGCAAGGTTCTCGATGTTCCCAATTACTTTTCTCAACTTCGTGAAGAACCAACGCATTGCTAGATCATTCTCTCCATCGACAATGTCAAATGTAAGAGGGTAAATTTGGATATTGGCATCTTGACAAGTAGCAATAATCAACTTTCCTTCATATCTAGCTTTTAGGATTGTACCATCAACTAGAATTAGAGATCGCATCGCATTTTGAAAACCTCTAATGCATTGTCCAAGAGCCATAAAAAAATACTTGAAGCGATTCTGCCCATCGGTTTCAATTAAAAAACGTCGAGTCAGAATTAGTTCTCACCATGTTGTGGCAATACCTGGCCAATTTGGCATAACTCTCCTCTGTCGAACCCATTAAATCTTCCAATGCACATTCTTTAGCCTTCCAGGCCTTCTGGTAACTCATAACCACCCCATACTCTTGACGGATGTCGTTGATGATATCTGTAGGTCTGTAAATCGTCCGTGGATCCTGAAACTTGTGCATTATCTGTCGACCAATAAACTATGATCGAGCTTGCTTGTAATCATTTTGAAGAAATCCCACTTCACAAGTATGTTCCCGCGCATACTTACGCATAACAAAGAACTCATTTGTGTCCATCTTTGTCGCACTCAAACGCCAACTGCAATTGTTGTCCACACAAATAATTGTGTATGTAGACTTGTTTGATTTTTTTACCTTAAACTCAAAATTATGTTCAATTGCAATTCGGTGCACGGTTTCTTGCAAATCTCTTTTCGTGTCAAATAATTGATCAACATGTAAATTTTCATCATCAGGAACTACACGCGAACAATTAGAAGACCGTGTACTCGGCCCAGCATGTGAGCTCCCACCAGACTCATGTCTCTGTCTGGATAAAGCAATTAAATCCTGATTTGTAAATGGCCTTTCATCCTCGTTGTCTTGAACTTCCTCGTAAATCCTTCGTGTAACGGTGACATCATGGTGAGTAGCAACTGCCCCAGGAATAACCACATCATCCTCCCGAGCAATCTCAACAGTATCCCAAAGATCATTCTCATTACGATCCTCTCCATCAAAAACTTCGTGTTCACCCTCGATGACATTTTTTTCAACAAATTTACGCAAATAGGAGTCGTCTTTCGACCTTGGTTCAATTGAATTAGATTCTTTATTTGCGCTTCAGAAGTAACTTTCAAAGGTGGAATCGAAATTGTTGAATGCTTTTGAAATAAAAATCCCAATTCCATATCGTACTGAGAGGAATCGACGTTAAGCATGTTTTGTATTTCACTGGACATGTCTGTAAACAAAGTATTTTTTGTTATCGAAATAGCAGCAACCCCTTCTCCTTCACTCGTCCATTTCCATTCCCATTGACCATTTTCTTTCCTTTGAAATTCGCTGAAATAACAGATTAGAACACATGCTTTTGCCATATCTGCATTATGAATTAAAAATATCGAAAAAAATTATCAGAAATAAAATTATCAGAATCGAGGGGCGGGGGAGTCTGCAAACGGACGGTCCGGTCTTTTCGAACCGTCCGCAACTGACGGTCGGGACTGTCCGTTACGATCTCCCCGGACCATTACGGACCGTCCGTTCACTCCGGACGGTCCGTTCGTCCGTTATCGAACGAGTTCCGGCGTCAGATCGGTGCTGGCCTGAACTTTGGCTCTAATATTATTTTTTCTACCATTTAAAAAAAATATACGACTTCAATAAAAATAAAATTAAATACTAGGAAAAGATACTTACCGAATTGAAGTGCTGAAATTTAACTAAATTTTTCTGTTGAGGTTGATAACTAATAAGTTTATGAAATTTTGAGGTTGAAGTGGATGAAAAATGAAATAGTTTTTATCGTGTTAGAGTAAACTGATGAAAAGACTGACTTCGTTTTCAAATTTCAATTGAGAAGTGTTTGGATTTTTATTTGTAATTTAAGGATATTTTTGTCTTTTTACCATATTTCTATTTTTGTAATTATATAACTCATTTAAGGGCGTTTTTGTCTTTTACACAAGAAATAGCCATTGTGGTGAATGTTAGATTTTTTTGGTTAAAATGGAAAATGGTTGGTTTGACAAAGCCAAACTTAAAAGTACCCCCTTCGGTAACCCCCTTCGGTACATATGATTTTTTCCTTATTTTTTTACTATTTTTTCTAAATTAAGCAAGACAATTAGAAAATTACCAAATCAAATATCCATTTACTATGTAAGAACCTGTATTCCCCAGCTAAGCTAAGAGTCCAGATATGAACCCTATCCATGAGAATATCGACTTCAGGTTTCTTTGTAGCAGAAGAACATTATTCTCCTAGTAGTTTCGGATAGGTCAAAAATGACAAGAAACTCACGGAGAGGATCCATCGAGTTGTGGTTCTTAATTTCTTGGTGAAGAACGAGGTTTTTCCCTTTACCCAACTGGTGCCCCGGCGCAAGAGAACTTGGTAGATATCCGGCGTGATGAAACGGTACCGTATTCGACAGTCATGCTTTCTAATCCCCCATATTTGACTTGTTAATGGTAGAACGGATGATGTATCTCAAGATTCAAAAGGAAAAGGCTCAATTATTTTGTTTTAAAGGTTGAAATTCTTTAACTGCATTTTGTCTAATTATTATTATTAGGTAAACATCTAATTTCGATAAATAAAAAAATAAAGAAAGAAAGAAAAGAGAAGTAAAACATAAATGGTAATTATATAATAGAAAGTTATTAAAAAAAAAAAATTGAAAAAAGAATTTTTTTTACTCATTAGTCATTATCTATTTTAATTTTTATAATTATCCCCTGACAAGAATAAATAAATTATATAATTATCCACTTTCTACATGCCACGTGTAGTAACTGCACAAATGGTAATTTTCACACTTAACCTCTCCCGCTGAAACCCACCCCGTGTAATATTTTTCTCTATATGACAACCCCCATCTCTTCTAAACCCACAACTCTATATCTTTACAAGAAAATTCTGTAGAAGGTGATATCACTTGCCTGGAATCTGTCGTCATTTGTGAAGTTCTGGCAGGAAATATGGCCGAGGAGTCGGCGGTCCCAGTCGTGTTCTTAATCGAAGAGAAGAAGAATTACGGAAACATATCAATATCCGCGGCAATGGATTACAATGTCTTCATGTTGATCGTGAGAGAGATGATCGGCATATTGCCAAATCAAGAAATATCCATTTACAAAATGAAGAACCCGTATACTCTGGCGACGGGTACAGAGTTGAAGCTGGTCGATGATAAAATCGATTTCAGATTACTTTGTAGTTAGAAGGACATCACCTGTCTAGTGGTTTTGGAAAGATCGGATTCGAAATTGTCAAGAAACTCACCGGAGAGGAACCATGGAGATACCTTGGAGAATAATATGACCGCGGAGGTCCCTGTCGTGTTCTTTGACGGAGATGATGAGAAAAATTTCGGAAACATATCAATATCTCCGGCAATGGATTACCAGCTGTTTAGGTCGACAATGTGACAGATTATCGGCATATTGCCAAATCAAAAAATAACCATTTACCACACAAAGTGTTGGATATTGGTTAAATAAATCGAGAATTGAAAATCGATTAAAGTGATTTCGTATCGATTTTGGC